CACTCATTTCACGTGATAAAGTTGACTGTTGGATTTCACAGTGTAATATTAAAGATGTAGTTCAACCAAAAATGAATATTCAGTCATGATTTACTATCCCTCGTGTTGTTATAAAACTTGGCTTTCTATTTACTGTTTAATGCACAAGAAGAGAGTCTGTTGGTAACCAACCAGTTTTAGTCAACGTTGATTTCTATTGCATGACAAAAGCACGTTGTCATTCCTCTTCTTTTATGTTTCACAGATGAATGTCATACAGATTTGAAACAAACCACCCTCAAAATTAAAATGTTATCCTGATTTACTCCCTCTCATAATGAAGTTATTTGTGGCTGCCTTTTCTATTTCTTGAAATCTCATTCTCAGTTGAGTTTGGGTCCAAAAATGGTGATTCAGTCCATCACATGACTGAGCGGTTAATGTGGAATGGAGTCCCAAATTTCCCCCTTACACAAATCTAGCATTCATCTATGAAATTTGCTAAAGTGACAAGTCCTAGTGACTACATTTAAGATTAATTTAAAAATCTCTTCAGTTCAGATCCTCTTGCATGAAAATTCTGTATAAGAAAAGTTTTTGATGGGAAAAAACTCTAGAGGAGATTTAATGAGTCGCTTCATGAGCTATTATTACAAAAAGAGCAGGTGTGTTCAATACAGATCTACCTTCAGTTTATTCCCACCTGCCTGTCATTTATATGTGAACCTGAAGACCATAATTAGCTTCTTCAGGTGAGTTTGATTAGAGATAGAACTCACCTGGAGCACACATCCACAAACAGGAAATACGCAATAGAAACAAAAAATTTGCCAGATATTTGTTTTTGGACCATCTTGGTACTCATTAAAAATAGTGAGCGATGACAGTTTGTAAAGAAACAATACTTATCTGCGCACTTTATGAGTAAATGCCTATTGACCGTATTCTGCGATGAGGAAGTGCACATGTTTTTGTGATTGTTTCAGAACTTCCGATTCAGTTACCAATGGGAGAAATGACTAAGAATAATAAACAGAAAATAGTCAAACTTCTTGCTTTACAAACAAGTGTGTTTGTGACAATACAAAAAAAATAGAATAATGTCATAAGAAAATATCAGTTTGCAACATAATGAGCCTTTTTTAATCGAACGTCTAAAAATCAACGGAAGTGAATGAGACCGGAAGTCCCAAGCCAAAAACATTCCAATGATTATGCCTGCTCACACGTGAAGAATAAGGTCTATAGACTGAACATGTAATACACATGCGCATGACATCACCATTTTAAGGGCTGTACGATATTGAAAAAAGTCATATGTGATAGCATGTAAATAATGCAATGTTTAATAATTAATTAAATGTTTAATAATGATATTTTACCAAATTATGAAACCATTTCATATGTTTATTTGAGGGAAAAGCAAGCATCACTACAACCTCTGAAAGTGAACAGCCGTAAAACAAATCTCACTCATTTTAACCAAAAAAAAAATAATAATAATAATAATAATAGTTTTATCAACTGGAAAACATCAACAACAATCAGAAAAAAATGTGGAGTTGCTTTTTTCTTAATATGACTTGCTTACTTCAAACTACTTATTTGAAATGAGATGTTTTTTTGAGGAACAACTTAATTTTTTTATGTTCAATCCACACATTTGTAAAAATTATTAAACTAACTTAATACATTTGTATTGGGACAACATGAAGAAATTTCGTAGAGCCCAGCATATTATAGTGTACAGTGTTTCTGCATTCATACTAAAGTTATTACAGATTCAAGAAAATCAACATATCCACTTTGCTTGGTTTCAGAGATGTGTTGATGTGTAACTAAATTGCCTGATGTGCTAAGAACAGTGGGCTACTAGCAGGTACACAAAGGTATACACTTGTATTAAATCACTCATTTATTGCAAACCATTGTAATATGTATCGTGATAGGCAAAATGTCAATATATTGCATAGTCCTAACAATTTTCATAAACTCATAGACGATAATAGTAAAGAACCTGCTATACTTGACACTAATTCAAAGAACTGAAATGACGTCATTTAAAAGAAAGAAAGAGTTTGTTTTGAATCTGTTTCAGCATATTCTTTTTGTTTCGGAGAGTTTGTTTTGGCTTGTGCAATGTAAAAATGTTGGGTTCCACACAATTCCTTCATGTTTAACATGTTACCTTAATAGTTTTTACAAATTTAAGCAAATTAAAAACAATTAAGTTGTCCCAAAAAACTTTAAGAATTTAGCTGTTTCAACTTATTTTAAATAGGTAGTTTGAACAAGCATCAAAAGTCATTTTTGGAGTGTAAAAACCTTTAAGCTACCATTGATCCATGGTGATTACACAGTGGGTGTCTTCTGGAAGTTCGACTGATTCATGTCAGGCAGGAGTACACAACATAAAAACGCATAATCTTTTTTCTTAAGAATATTTCATTTAATTATAGTAATTTTAACAATTTAATAATCAGGCAATGGAATCAGAATGTGAACACATATATATCCTAAACAAATAAATAAAAATAAATGTTAACAAAAAAGTGCAAGGTAAGAAGTAACAGAGGCTGCGATATCTACTACCAGATCTTTTTTTATTCGTCAGGCACCCACATGAAAAAATACTTTAGTAATTTTTTGGTGTACAGTGTTTTTTTAACCAACAATCAGCTCAAATGTTGCTAGAATTGGTTTATGTATAGACGATATAATGCATCACCAAAAATGATCGAGGTCATGTCCATGTGTTGTGCCATAAGTTGATACTTTATATTGATTATTTTGACAGGCCTACTCGCAGTATACCATCACTCAGCCTTTTCTAACTTCTTTTTACCTTCAAACGAAGGACAAAAACAATGTTTTTTGAAGAATAAGGGCCTTAAACTTGCTCCAAAATGCTGTTCCCATGTAAATGAATAAACAGTCAAAATTCATTAAAAAATGGATTATGTTGTACATATCCCTGTATACCTAGTTCTGCATATTCATTCCAGCTCTAAAAATGTAATTGTGAGTAACAAATAAATAAAATTAATGTTTTACTTCACAAAAACTCTTTAAACTGAGCTTTAGAGCAATTTTTATACATAAAAAGTACTGGTGAAATGGGAATTCATGCTGACATTGCATAAATGCACACAATCACTGCGCTGTTGTGATACTGGGTTGCATATCAAAAATAAAACGAGTACAAATCCTGTATTACGAATCAAGCTTTAAGTCCTAGAGTAACATGATTTTAAGTTAAACAGAGCTCTTTGTTTATACAGGGCTAAACGAAAGGACATGCCTGTACACCAGTGTTCCTGTGATTCATGGGACGACTGCAGGTTTTATTAGATGCATTGCTTCTGAATGACTCCTGGCTGCTATGATGAAGTGAGCCGGATGCTTAAACTCACATTAAAACAGTTTGTCACTGTAAAATGAAAGGCCTCTTCGTTACACAAGAATGTCATCAAAAACAAAACCCCAAAAATATACAAGAGAAGGGTAAGAATACAGGACAAGTTCTTCTGAACATCATCTGGCCAGTCTGATCTGCAATTTTTTAATGCATACGAAATTGCATCAAGTGCAAACAAAAGGATTATGTAGCTTTTTCCAACATGATGACAACAAGGAACGTCCGTTACAGTAGAATACGCTACAACAGTACCTGCTTGCTGTTTGCTATGCTTCATGTGTGTTTAAGGCTGACCTATATTAGCACACCGCATACAGCAACATTGAACAGTTATTAGGAGGACAACGTCGGCATTGTTTTAAGGTCATTGCAACCGCCTCTGCTGACCTTATAAAAGTCGTTCCGGTAATGAAAGAGGTATGTGAAGGGCTGTGTCATGTTGGCATCTAACCTGAGTGTATCATCGTTCTCTCAGCGCTGATACCTTAATACGTTCCACCTTAAGACATAACAGCAATAAATCATTGCAAATGACATCAGTGCATGTGCATTACTGTACAATTGTTCCAACAAAACCAATGCGGTCATCATTTACTCCTTTAAAAAATGAAAATATAATCAAATAAAATAACACTCAGCATCGAAATGAAGATTGAGAACAACATTTTTGGCTGTGTTTACCTTTCTGTGCATTAATTGAATCTTGCTACCTGTGCATTTCATTCAATCTGTGTTTCTGTGCTATAAATACTACGTAATGCTGAACAAAGCCATGTCTGTCTGGATGCCCATAATTATCTCCCCAAGATCTTTTCATACAGTGTCATTCAAAGCAGCCATCAAGAGTCACCTGTTTCGAAAGGTACATCTCGATGAATATGCATGTTTCTGCTTTGATTCTGGATCTTATGAGAAAGGGGTTACATCATACACCTTCCCGGGACAAAAACACGCCCCTTTACCTTATGATGGAGTGGTCTGTACCTGCTCTCTCACATACACACATGCACAGTGTGTGACAGTAGACAATGGGGAGGGTGTCCGCATAGGCGCGATCACGGGGAAAAAGATGCTGTAATCTAACAGGTAGAGAGCTCTCTGCTGTCGCCTAGCAACTCGCTGGATGCATTATTACAGGCGCACCTGGATATGCACAATGCAAAACATGAATCGGCATGTGCATTGAAGATTCAGATGATTCAGGTGCTGAATTTACCTGAGCGACCCTGAGAGGAGTTAAACAAAGTGGTGCGTTTCTTTATGCGGGAGTCTGGCGTGAAACCCCTGCATGCGTGTGCATGTGCGCGTGTCCTTTCCCTCCTCAAACCCCTCGACTAATTTGTATTCTCATGACGAGAGCATGTTTGACGGCAGGGATCGCTGCTCCTCAGTTTTCCGCACTGGCAGAGTTTCTCAGGGGCATCATTTGGTTATGAAGGGGACGAGCGGCGGTGTACAGGCAGGCAGCACTGCTAACTCAAAGGTCACGTTGCACCTTTATGACCGGGCAACCGCTATAAACTCTCCTCCTTCTGCTTTGTGTCCAATAAAAAAAGAAATGCTCACACAAACACAACTTCATGAAGCCGAGCGAGTCTCTTACCTCTGTGAAAACTCAACGCCAAACTCAGAAGCAGCAGCAGACCCTGCATGGTTCAAGTCTCCGCATGGGGAGCGTCAAATCCCTCCAAACGATGGATTATAATCCTTCCATTCACGTGTTGGCCGTGCGCTGCCCCTGTTCTCCCGCCTTTGCTACTTTTTAACGCATTTCTGGTGGCTTTTTTCTTCAGCCGTTCCCTCTTCTGCCCTCCTCTCTTGCGTCCTCAGCGACGCTCCGGTTTCTTTTTAGTGGCACATTCCTTGTTCATCTCTCTCTCTCTCTCTCTCTCTCTCTCTCTCTCTCTCTCTCTCTCTCTCTCTCTCGCTTGCTCTCTCCTCCCTCCCTTTCTGTTTCTTTTCAGTGATGTACAATTCACCAACGAGTCGTTCTCTTAAACTGAATCGTGTATAATTGATTCTGAAGAACCGACTCGTTTACGAGCGGGATTGAATCTGCTCTGAAGTTTTCGAAACAACAACAGCTCGCTGACTCGCAGGAAAAGTTCGCGTTCATTTATAACGTCGTTGTTTTATGACTGTTTAGTCTATTATGAAGAAGGTAGGCCAATCGCATTCTTTTTTTGTTTATTTAAACATAAAATTAGAAAGTTCCCCTAAAAATTAAACATTTAAATAAAGATAATTTACAAAATGGATTAGAATCATAAAAGCAGCAAATGGAAATAAAAAAGTTTTTAAAAAGCAGAGGAAAAAGTACAGAGGATTATTAAAACTAAATGAACAAATAAGAATACGTTTCAAATAATTTGTTTTGACTATTCTATTTTAGAGTCTCTATTCCCATAGGTCTGTTTTAAAAGTAGCCAAAAGTCTTCTGTAGCTATAGTTTGTCCATTTTTGTAGCCTATCTGTGATTTCTTTAAAAAACTTAATGTTTAATAAATATATTTAAAAAAAAACTATTTAGCCTATTTTATACAATATCATAGAAAATAAGTTTGGAGATTCCTGACTCATAAAACAAATATAAATGATTGATTTCACCATAATTACTAAAAGATATATGTTTTATTATACTTATTTTCAGTGTTCTTAGTAATATCCATGAGTAATATGTTAGATTTATGAACGTCTTCATATAGAACCTGTTCTTTTGAAAATAAGATAACACAAAAAATAGTTAGGCCTATGAATTCTTACACAATATATAGACAGGTGTGTGCCTTTTTAAATCATGTCCAATCAGCTGAATTTACCACAGGTGAACTCCAATTAAGCTGCTGAAACATTTCAAGAATGATCAGTGGAAACAGAATGTACCAGAGCTCAACTTAGAGCTTCACGGCAATGGCTGTAAATACACAGGTTCAACTTTTTTTCACATTGTCGTTTTGGGGTATTGTGTGTAGAATGCTGAGGAAATAAATTAATTTAATCCATTTTGAAAAAAGGCTGTAACATAAAATATGTGGAAAAGGTAAAGTGCTATAACTGCTTTCCAGATGCACTTTATGAACATAAAATTTGGGTAAAAAAAAAAAAAAATATTTACTGTATGTAAAGGCTTAATTTAGGCTACTTTTCCCAAATTTTATTTTGAATTTCGAACATCCTAAAGAAAATATATTTGAAAGAAATGGGAAGACTGAATATAAAATCTGACCAAAATCTATACGCAATAAAATAGGTTATTCGCCTAACTGTTTTCGAACCAGCTCTTTGAAATAAACGCTCGAAGGAATCGACTCTCGGAACTGACTCGCTCTGCCCGTCAGTGTTTCCTTTTACCCACCCGGTTCATTTGCCCTCCCTCTCTCAAGAGCTCACAGCGACAAAGAGCAGAGCAGAGACCCGCGGCTGCGAGCTAAACCTCCTCATGCGCGTCGCAAACACTGCACTCACATTCTTCAGTTTACCTTCACCTTCAGCCCTTCCTAATGTAAGGAGTAAAGACTTGAAGAATGGCACAATGTTGACACAGCTTAGCTACCCGCAGCTAATGAAGGCTACTGTAAATACTGTATATCAGTAAAGATGAAAACGCAGTGATCAATTTAAATTTCACAATAGATGCGATGGAAAAGAAATAACATTTTAGATGGTGCTTCTGTCAAATACAGTATGAAACTCTACTGTAATGATCACTTTTAGACGTTTTCTGATACACATGCATATGCTGAGGGAGTGCCTGCATATGTTTGTGAATTGTGCCATCTGTCGGACAAGATTCGAACAGGCGAACCGAATTTGAACTAGCGACCAAAATTTGGTTCACTTTTAAAAAAAAATGCAGTTTCACACAATTGCTTCATGTTGTCCCAACACAAACTGATTAACTTAACTCAATTGTTTTTACAAATTGAAGTGGATTAAACATAAATCAATCAAGTTGCCCCACCCTAAAAAAATCTATAATCTTGTTGATTCAGCTCATTTTAGATAAGTTGTTTGAACAAGCAGCAAAAATAGATTTTTGAGTGTTGATGATCACTTTAAAACCAAATACTATGGTAACTAAATTTAATTAGTCGATGCACTCTAAAAAAACGTTGAATTATTTATTTAAAAATAGGCTAATTATTAAGTTTAAAATAATGGGTGCTTTGTTGGGTTATTTTTTTACCTTTATTTGATTATTTAATAATAATTCAACTAGCTGGGTTAAATACTTGGTGCTTTGTTGGGTTATTTGTTTAATAACTCAACCAGTTGGGTTAAAAATTTAGTTTCAACAGTCAAATGATTTAACTGACACAGAACAGCTGTATTTTTATGCGTTTGTAATGTTGTTTTTGTGCAATACAGTTTATGTAAGCTCTAATGCAATAATGTTGTTGTTTTTTTATCAAATAACCTCTCCATGTCGTGTGTTTTATATCTGTTTCACCAGCACTCTCAATTGTTGATGATATACAAATGCGCACTTCATAGCTGATCTATATTTAAGCATTTTCAATATTTTTGAACTCTATGTAAAATATTTACACAGCTTTAATTATCAAATTATTAGTAGAAATAGTAACAATAGTAATACCAGAATGAAAAAAAATAACATTTAAATTTGATCAAAATAATCAAATATCTAAGTAATAATATATAACTAATAATAAACTAAATTGTATAACCCAATGCACTTAAAATAACAGAGAGTTTGGAAGGTGCTTTAAAAACCTATAGTTGGGTTATATGTTTGGGTCTTTTAAACTTAGTAAACCTAATTTAGCCTTTAAATGTCACTTTAAGTTGTATGTAACATTGACTAAACAACAATGTTATGACATTTCTGCTGCATCAAAATTAAACAAATTGACTGTCAAAAAAGCAATGTTTGTTGCAATTACCTTGATTTTTATTTTTATTTTAACCAATTATCTTTTTTTTTGGTCCATTTTAACATTTTATTCAAACACATACCTAATAAAACAGAATTTTAAAATCGTTACTTCGTTTATTTATTTTTCCATAGCTCAAATAATAAATAATTATTATAAAAATGAACATTCGGACACTGAATTGTTTTTCCAAAATAACATACATATTATATTCTACTTTATCTCAGTGTTTTCAGTGTTTTGTATTATTGTTCTGCATCCCCCTGATAAACACATACAGTTGCTGATTTTCTTCATGCCATTACACTCATCATCATCACATCTTTCGATAGCATAATAAAAGCAATGAAGATGCTCCATTTCCGAGAGCTGCGCTGCATCTCTGCCGGGACTCGAACCCGGAGCCTCTGGATTAGAAGTCCAGCGCGCTATTCCATTGCGCCACAGAGACCGAGCCAATAAAAATCGACCAGAGCCGCTTTAGAGACGCACTTCACTGGTTCAGCATCCAGCAGCATCAGGACCACGCGGAAGCCATTTTGGAACTCCGTGTGCCGCCAGTAGGGGGAGCTCGAAGCGCAACTATAGAGCAGCTCTGAGCCAACATGGCGGTCGAATGATATTCTGTTTGTTCAGCATTTCCCTTTACAGGCCTGTAGCCAGTCTGATGAAAGTGGACCTTTTTGCAGTTTTCACCTCATTATCTATTTAACTATAAAGTCAAGTATTTACAGTTTAAACACTAGATCTTAGTGACATTTTAAGCACTATTTATTTCTGGTTTAACTTAACAGTGGCACCAAAACATTTCCTAAAGATGTAGAATAAAGTAATATGAAAAAAAAATATTTATACGCATATTTTTTTAGCATATATTTAAAAAAAAAAAAAATCTATTTCAGTTTTTAATTAAAAACTGCCTCTAGTAATTTAAGTCCCTTTATTAATCTGAGGTCACCACAGCGGAATGAACCGCCAACTTATCCTGCATATGTTTTATGCAGTGGATGCCCTTCCAGCCCCAACCCAACACTGGGAATGGTATCGGCAAGTACACAAATTAAAATACTCCTATCGGTTTGTAAAGAAGTGATATCGGTACATCCCTACTATTAAGTAACAGACTATGTGCATAATTATAAAGATTAATTCGTTGTTTTTAAGTAAAATCATCTTATTGCTTTTAAGGCAAAGGGTTTACTCACTTTTTTTTTTGAAAGTCAGCTAATCGCTTTTTACAGTGTATTCAAAAGTCAACAGAACGACCAGTCATGCAAACAATTTAATTACAGGAACATAATGTTAAAGCAGTTAACTAACTCCTGTGTAATCTAGCTCCTGTTTATCTAACCAACCTTCTGTCTCGCTACAATTAAACCTGCACTTTAAGATCTCAAATCTCATGGCTTCTGGTACTACCTAGAATAGCAAAGTCTAGTAAAGGAGGTCGAGCCTTCTCATTTATGGCTCCTTTATAGCCTTCCTGATAATGTCCTAGGCTCAGACACACTCTCTCAGTTCAAAACTAGATTAAAGACCCATCTTTTTAGTAAAGCATACACTCAATGCATCACATAACGGCAATGATGCATGAATGTGCTCCACGCAGGTGAGCTGGCTTAACAACCATCTGTAGGACACACTCCTCCTTAATACACCAGACATTAGCCCCTTTCACACATACAGACCTTTCCGGAAAATTACCGGCAATTTTCCGGAAAGGTTGTATGTGTGAACAGGTCCTTTTTGAAAATACCGGTAAATTCGTTCTGGCTATTTTCCAGAAAGAGAAGTTGTAACATTACCGGTAATTTGCCGGAATGCTGCGCTGTGTGAATGCAGAAGGAAGATTGGCGGAAAGAGCGCTTGCACGTCTAGAACGTACTGACGTGAAACACCTGCTTTAGCCAATCAGAACTGTCAGACGCATTCACTTGCGCGCGGTTTATGAGAATAAAGCCTTTGAATATTTTTCCACACACCTTTAACTGCTAGATGTTAGTCAGATAACGTTTCTATGTTCCTTCTTAATGCTAACTGTGTAAATAATCATCGATAAAATGTTTATGATAATCCGTTGTTTGTTTACCTTCAAGCTTTGCGTGTGCCCGTGAGCGCCCATAGCCCCAGCACACACTCATATCATGAACATCTCGACATGCGAAAGTGATCCTCTATATGTTTTAATTGGAGTTGTACTCAATACCGATCAATCCGAAGAGTTTGTAATGTAGTCAAATGTTTATAAACACAAGCGCAGCCGTTTACAGCTCATTTCTGGTTAATGATGTCAGAATTTATCGGCATTTTGCGATGGATGTGTGAATGCTCTTTTCCGGAAAAATTCTGTAACGTCCTCGCCTGTGTGAACAGCGCTTTTTTGAATATACCGGTAAAGTCGTTCCGGAAATTTTCCGGATATTTACCGGTATCACTGTGTGAAAGGGGCTAATTGAGTTAGAAACTCTCACATGCTTTACATGTTTGATTATATAACTATTTTCATTTATAACGCCCTGTTTTTGCATCTCGTTTAAATACACTATGAACAGCAGCTATGCTTATTTTCTTTATGTCCACCTGGCAATAATCATTCAGAGGTCCCTAGAGACTATGCAGTGCCCTTGATGCGATCCAAGACCTGTGAAGAAATGATCCCAAGGTATTCATAATCCTGGACCAGGCTGTATCCCAAGCTGATGCTGTGGTGGTCATGGAGAAATGAAGTGCTTGAGATTGATTCATGAAAAACCACCGTGACAACAAGTCCCTGCATTGATCCTGTGAGCCAGCCTGACGATCCTGCCGATGCTCTACTCAGCCTAGCAGTTTCTCCACGATGGACATCCAGCTTCTCCAGCCTACGGAGTCTAGACTGCAGCTCCATACAGGAAGTCTTGCCAGAAGAATAATGGTTGTACCCAACAAAACCTAGTTTCTCTCAAGGTTTTTCTTCCCCTTCGCTTCATCAATTGGTGAAGTTTTTTTTCCCTTGACGCTGTCACCACTGGCTTGCTTGGATCGAGACTTGTGGAGCTGTGCATCGGTGGATTTGCTCTACAGTTTGAACTTTCAGCAGAGAAATTTAAACCACACTAAACTAAACTTCAACTCTGAAATCTGGACTTTACTAGAACTATATGAAGCTGCTTTGACACAATCTACATCCTGAAAAGTGCTATATAAATAAACATGACTGAACTTTAAGGAATTTGATTAAATAAAATGTATAAAAGAATATTATTAATGTATTTTTCGTATTTAATTATTTAAACACACTTAAAAGTGCTCTAAGGAAGCTTTTAACATCTAAAAAATCATAATAAAAACTAAATAATTGCAATTTATTTATTTTAAATGTCCAAATATTAATCTAAACTCTATTTCCATTTGTTTATTCACCATAGTGTCAACGTAATTACATATTTACAGTAAAACAAACATTTAGCTTTCTGGTATAGAGTAAACCACATCACTTTACGCTAACATATGTAACAATTCACAGTGCACAGAAAAACGCATTTCCTTTAGACGTCCATAGAAGTATGTTCAGTTTGTAAACAACGTGCAGGAAACACCCACAGATCAATAAAGTAGCCATTTCAAGCAAGCATGGAACAGTTTAGAAACAGTGTGCAAAAAAAGAAAGATGGTCACAATTTCCATATTTCATGAGTGTTGAGCTCCACTGGCCTCTGCATACAGTATTGCTTGTCCATTTCCAGACAATTAGATCCAACCAACCTGCCCTGGGAAGATCTGTTGCTTGCTTTTCCTATCTTCACAATACATTCAATGAGGAAAAAACAGTCACTGTTGTGCCAGGAGGAGCAAATTTACTGGCAACGCATAGGAAAATAAGTGAGGTCGAAGTCCAAAGGTGGAGCCTGAGCTTATTATTCATCAACGAATGAATCAGACAACCTTTTCCTTTCATAGACATGTGTGTCAGTGTTTTCAACGCACCCTGAGTTCATCCTGATAGTTCAGATTTTTCCTTTACTCCAGCTTACTCTGCATAAGCGATGTGTCTTCTAGAATTATATTGTATTCCACGGTTTCTTCAGTAGGATCATAGACTATGTTCATTGGAGAGTTTGCCTGATGGAAATGCAGAACATTAATAAACAGAAAAACAGGCTTCAATTCTGAACGGTTAGAAGTGGGAATCTAACAATTAATGAATTTACCTGTAGTCCCTGAGGCCCACTGGCACTATTGTTGAGCATCTCCTTGAAGAAAAGCGACGGGCCCGGGACTTTTGGGAATAGAATGTCTTTATTTCTAAAGGAAGACAAGCAGGTTTTGGATTTCAGATCATTTTAGAAGTGTTCAGACATGTACAGTTCACTCTGAAAAATACTTAAAGTCCGCATGAACCGGATGCTGCGACCGTTTTTTTTCCCAAATATTGTAATGCAGTTCATGGAGAAATGGTATACTAAATGAGACAACAGTAGGCGTGGCTTGTTTTGTTTTACTGTGAGCTGATTGGATGTAGTAAAGAAGGTATTTTAATTCAGATCAGGAAAAGGGATTTGGGGGAGTTATTACAACAAAACAGATGCCTCCTCCTTCTCTGCAATTCTGTTTGTTGTCTAAACTGACAGGTGGAGGAGGGTGGTTAAATATGTTAGTCACGCTCAATGCTTTGGAAGTTTGCAGCAATTCTTTTAAAACAAAGCCTGGGTATTAATCTTTGTGCACTGTTCAAATTTACTACCCTTTTGTTATGTTCATGATTACAACATCCACTGAATTAAACTGCTGTAATAATGCATCAGATCAATACTATAAATCTGTTCATCAACCTCAATCCTGATCAAAACTACTAAATTGTTTAGAAAATTACAGGATTTGAACTCTTTAATTGCCAAGTTCACAAACTATGTCACTGATTTGGTGAAAAAAAAAACACAAAATGGCATATTTTCAATATTAGAAGTAATTGTGGACTGGATTTTTTTAACCTTTTATCACAGTCTTGGACATGTGAACGATTAGTAGCAGCATTGGCTTTGATGCATTGTTAGATTTTCATTTTTTCTCACTAATTTACTGTTGGTGGCTGTTTTTACCCTATTGACTTCCAATATAAGCACATTTGATGCTGCATAAATACACAGTCTTTGTTTTTGTTTACTTCATGTAGTTCTGAGAGCTGAGATGCATATCTTTATTTTCTCAGACACATAAAGGTAAGTGCGCAAAGGTTACTCTTACACACTCACAGACACACATACACACACTTTAATTTGCTGTTATACTCCATATAAAATCCAGAAACTAAGCTATTTTTAGCACAGGACTATCTAAAGGGTTAATGGTGCCAACTGATGATTAACAGTAAAAATTTTAACTCTTCCCAACAGAGAAAACCACCAACAATCAGAAATCCAGTCTATGATTACTTTTAATATTGAAAATACGTCATTTTGTGTGTTTTTGTTTTCACCAAATCAGTGACATTATTTATGAATTTGGTAATTAAAGAGTTAAAATCCTGTAATTTACATAAACATTTAGTAGCTTTGATCAGGACTGAGATTGATTAACAGATTATTGCAAAATAATTGAAGAAAAAAATTTATCTGATGCAGTTTTAAAGCAGTTTCATTTAGTGGATGTTTTCATCCTAAACATATCAAAAGGCTAGTCAATTTGCTCAGTGTTAATTGTTATTTGTATATATATTTTTTAATTCAAAGCATTTTCTCTAAATATGTGTCAAAATAAGATTTGTCACCAAAAATCTTACTGCTAGCTGAAACACAGAAACAGTTATGGCCAAATTAACCTCCAAGGGCTTAGTGGCCACATACATGGGCAGCACATTTTAGCTCTTAAGTGGCTATTAAAAATACCTTGAATGTGTTATATTTTGTTACAGACATAGAGGGTCATCCTACAACTGTTTTGCAGCATATGAAATGTCCCAAACACTATTTTTAACTGTCCAAAATGGGGAAAAAATGTTGTTTTTACTCTCTGATAGTCAAAACATGTTCAAAAATGTATATGTTATATATGCATTAAAACACAGTCAGGAAAAGTGTTTTATGTAAATTCAGACCACAAGTCCACATATATAGACATCATTTTTCTCTAAAAGTACATCATTTTAAAAGATAATACTTAGGTTTTATTTTAATTAGGTTCCAATAAGCGCAACTAGAAATAAAAATTATTGTAAAAAACACCTTGGGCCTTAAGAGGTTAAGACTCAAAAGCACCCCAGTGGATGAAAACACCCCCAGTGGTACATAAGGGTTAAAAGGGATTGTTCACACAAAAAGAAAAGTTCTGGCATCATTCACTGACACATTTACTTTTGAAGAATGTGGTTTGCTGGCACTTGTTGACTTTCATAGTAAGAAAAATTACTATGGAACTGAATGTGAAACATTTTTCAATGGAAGCTAATGTGAATCATCAAGTCCCACTCCCTAACCACAAGTTCCAGAAGCACCAAACATAACTGCAGCACTATTATGGCAAAATGAATGGGATTTTTGAATGATTTTTCTACTACATATTTCAATAAGAGATATCACTTATGTCCCTTTAAGCCAGGGGTGCCCAAACTCGGTACTGGAGGGCCAGTGTCCTGCATAGTTTAGCTCCAACTTCCTCCACCACACCTGCCTGGAAGTCTATTGTACCTAGAAAGAGCTTGATTAGCTGGTTTAGGTGTGTTTAATTGGGGTTGGAACTAAAATATGCAGGACACTGGCCCTCCAGGATCGAGTTTGGACAACACTGCTTTAAGTCATGCAAGTCTTAAAGGGACAGTTCACCTGAAAATGAAAATCATTTACTCAGCCTCCAACTGTTCCAAACCTGTTTAAGCTTCTTTCTTATGTTGAACACAAAGCAAAATATACTGAAAGATGTAATAAAAAAACACCCGTTCACTTCCACAGTTTTTATTTTTGTTCCTACAATGGATGTCAATGGCTGATGGATTTAAAACATTCTTTAAATGATCTTGTTTTGTGTTCAACAGAACAAAGAAATGGATAAGTTCTAAAACGCATAATTCTGAGTAAATAATGAGGAAATTTTCATTTTTGGGTGAACTGTCAATTCCCCCTATAAATATCTTTGGTTTGCTTATTTAAAACAGGATAATACGCACTATGATGCACACTCATTTTGTTTTCTATTTAATTTAGTTTTAAATATAATAAAACAACAGAACAAGGAAGGCCTCCTGTAAATCAATAATCACCTTCTGAGCAGCACAAGAGACACTATCAGGCAACAGGAAACCATGAGCGGGATTATGATGAGGGCCAGTAACGCAGGCGTGCTTGGATTGCTGTTCTCACCTATGAAAGCACACGCACACACAGACACACAAAAATAACATTCAAGTTCAAGTGTTAATGGCCAGAGGAAAACACTTTTCATCAGCAGGAAGAGAAGCTGCGCAACTGCTCAGAGGCTGGATTTTTAATAGCTTTTTCTTTAATAAATGCTGTCGCTTTGAACTTTCGATTCATCCAAGAATTCTAAAAACAAATCACGGTTGCCAGACAAATATTAAACAGCTAATCATTTAAATAATAGGAGCTTTATTTATTTATTTTTTACATTTAAATAATAAGATAAAAATTTTTGCTTGGTTTTGATTTTGATAGCTCATTTTGGGGGATGCAAACAAAAACAATGGTTCCAACGTATTTCCTGTTTTACATTTTTAATTTCTATAGCTTCCGTGAACAGCCACATATTGATAAATAATGTCATAATAGCGATTTTAACATTAAGTTATGACTGAATTGCCTCTTTCTACAGTTTGAAATAGTTTGATAAGTAGGAAATGTTCATGGGCCAATGACATTACAACATTGAAATGGTCTATATAGGAATATTATCCACTTTATTTATCAGGAATAATGATAATAACTTGAGTAATAACTTGATAATAACTAAATAGGTATAAAACTAAAACAGCAGTCTAAACCTAGTACATTCAAAACTATACATAAAACAACACAATATAAAACTCTAATCAATACTGATAATACAAAATGTCTGCATATGTGATATCAGTTTATCAAAATGATTTCTGAAGAATCCTGTGGTCCCACAGACCACACACCAGCTGTTTGGTGGAGATGAGGCTAATTTTAATATGGGGATGGTTAGGAGGCCTTGATAGACAGAGGGCAAATAAAGCCAGGATGCCGGGGTGAAACCCCTACTCTATTTCGAAGTATATCATGAAAGAGAGTCAGGACCTAGGTTTAACGTCTCATCCAAAAGACAGCGCTCAATGAGCAGTATAGAAACCCTATCAATATACTGGGGCGATAGGACCCACACAGACTGCAGGTTGATCGCCCCCTGTTGGTCTCACTAACACCACTTCCGGCAGCAACCTAGCTTTCTCATGTGGTCTCCCATCCAGGTACTGACCGGGCGCAGCCTTGCTTAGCTTCAGTGGGCGACCATGAGAGTTGCAGAGAGGTAGCTGCAGACCTAAGATTACTTTGCTTACCCCATTGACAGATTACCCTCCTTATTCACCGTATTCTTCACTGACGAGCGGGCACAGCCATTTGAATCTTTTTGGCTTGAGACTTCTGGTCTCATTCACTTCCATTCATTTTTAGACATTAAAAACTGCTCGTTTTGCTGTTTGATGTTGCAAACTGATATTTTCTTATTATATTATTCTACTTGGTCTGTATAGTCATGCAAACATTTGTTTGTAGAGCAAGTAGTTTGACCGTTTTCTGCCGTTTCTTATTCATTGTCATTTCTCCCATTGGCGACTGAATCAGAAGTTCTAAAACAATCGCGAAAACAGGCGCACTTCCGCATTTTAGAATAAGGTCAATAGGAGTTTATTAAAAACAACAAAACAGTTATTTTCTGTGAGTGATTTTTACACTTATTGCAGGCTTTTTTTTAATATGACTTATAATCTTCAAGCTTTGACAATGTATGCAAGCAGTGAATATCATTATTGATTATTATGTCGTACCATATTCCACTTCGTCGCTCAGTTCACTAAATCCTCGTCCACAGTTGCTTGAGAAATGGATCTGCACTCTGGCTTTGTACTTGCAGTACTGGTCAAACTGTTTTGTAGATTTGCTTATGTGTTCTGTGAAGTTACGTGATTCCTGTAACCCAAGAACAGAAGCATTTAAGAAGCTGGATCTTGTTGAACATGACACCACATATCAGCTCTATTGAGGAAATTAACAAGCCCCCATATTATATTACATTAAATAAACACTATTTTCAATGAATTATCAAAAGAGATTTTATGTATTTAAAGATTTTATTGAGATAAAGAACCTGAAAATATTAAAATACAGAGCCCAATTTACCTTTCCACACTCGTTGTATGTATAGTTGTATTTGTAGCAACTTTCTTCAAACTCGTCTAGATCTGATGCATTTGTTTGAAACATGAGTGAGTCCCCAACTCTTTGGACTGTAAGCTGAGGTTTCTTTAGTCTCACTGCGAATCGAAGCAAAGAAAAAAAACATTGAACAAAACAGTAAAGGTTTTACACCACAAACAGGAATAATTCACATTTTTATTTGCTCAAAAATGCACTAAAATATTTTCAGTGTTTTGTTTCCTATTGGGCGACGGAGAGGTGCAGTAGGTAGTGCTGTCGCCTCACAGCAAGAAGGTCGCTGGTTCGAGCCTCGACTGGGTCAGTTGGCGTTTCTGTGTGGAGTTTGCATGTTCTCCCTGTATTCGCGTGGGTTTCCTCCGGGAGCTCCGGTTTCCCCCACAGTCCAAAGACATGCGGTACAGGTGAATTGGGTAGGCTGAATTGTCCGTAGTGTATGAGTGTGTGTGTGTGAATGTGTGTGTGGATGTTTCCCAGAAATAAGTTGGCGGTTCATTCCGCTGTGGAGACCCCAGAATAATAAAGGGATAATAAATGAATGAACGTTTCTTAATGTAATTTATTCCTGTGATGGCAACACAAAAATTTTAGCAGCCATTTTCGCAGTCTTCAGTGACACGTGATCTTAAAGAAGTGATTTAATTCCTTTAAATTAGCCTAATGGTTAAGAGATTTGGTTTGAGTCCCTGTTAAATGCTTAAATCTAAATAGAAGACTTTTGGAATAAGCATTTTAAATGGAAAAAAAAAACAACTAATGCCAAACTTTTAAAAGTAAGTAACGGGCACTTACAGTATATAGCGCATTTAGTGCATTGCCATGGTCCCAAAGTGCTTTACAACTGTAATCTAAAAGGCTGTGTAAGCTATTATGAACAGCAAGATGGCACATAACATAATAGGTAACAGCACACCCCTTAAACAACTATTTTGAGTGGATGCCCCTTGAGCGACGTCTAAGGACAATTAGATTTTTCACAAATCGCTATGAATTTACTTTTGTGCCTGAAGCAAATTGGTTGGGTAATAAATGTAGATCGATGGATTATTATTATTTATGATTTTTGTTTCTGTTTGTGTACTTTATGTTAAGTTTTGGTATTTATTGTGTTAGGTGTGTCATTCTTGTTATATGTAATGTGAAGCACAGGCGTTTTTAAGTTTTTAAGCGCAGCACGTCAAGTTTTTCAACGTTTAGGGTGTACTCACACTAGGCACGATTGCACTGAACTATGCCGGTGTTCGACTATCCCCCCTCTTCCCTGACGGCCCACACTCACATTGCATTTTACCTTTTGAGCCTAAGCATGCTTTTTTCATCAATGATGCGACAGTGAAAGAAAGAGAGACGCTCTCGCTCAGCACAGTGGAGCTTTAGCTATATTGTTTTGTTTTGTATTATTTTAAGTCGTTTGTGATGCGACAGTCAAATCTTTTGTTGATACTGAACTTTTGACACTCATAAACATTCATAAAGTCATCGTGCTGCACGTGTTAGGAAGTTTGCTGAAGGTGGCAGCCGATGTGCAGCGAGAGTTTGTGTCTTTGATAAACTATGACAGTTTGAGTTCATTGAAAAGTAAGAATGATTGATAAATCCATTTGAAACAGTCCCCTAAAAGTGACGTCGCATCTTTAGTTTCGAATTCAGGCGTGCCGAACCAAGTCTTGCAAACTGAACCGCACCAGAGAGCAATTCGGAGCACTCACACTTAATAAACGAACCGGAAAATATACCTGGGCACAGTTTGCATAGCCTAGTGTGAGTACACCCTTACATGCAAGGCTGCTCAGGTGATCTCACTTGATGGCGAAGGAGCAGGCATTTTTTTATCATTCCCGAATACTGCATTTTGCATTTTTTAGATGTAAATATGAAAAATGAACAAGAGCTCTCAGTACTTGCACAGCTGTGGTCTTTTTAGCCTAACACATCTGGAATGACTGTATTTGAGTACTGTACTAGGAGGAATACATGTACCATTACACCCCTAATCATAAGACACTGAAGATTGGATTGTAATAATGCTGAAAATTCAGCTTTGAGCCAAAGGAAGAAATACTTTATAAATGTATTCAAATAGAAAACTATAATAATAATGACTATGAACTAAACTCTTATTTGTTCTGAACATTTCACATCCACTTCATCGTCTTTTTCACTGCACATCAACATTTTTCAAAATGACAACTCTCCACTGAAGAAGCTGACTGTTTATTTGGCAAAAAATTTGTGAAAATGTGATTGTTTACCATATTGCATTGCACTTTCATCCCTGAAGGTGTTGTTTACAACAGTCCCATTGTAAGTGCCGTTGAACAGGTAGAACATTTGGCTAAAAACATTAATTTCTTTGAGACGTTTGTTATGTATGACACATCCTCCCATCTTCATAGTATCATCAGGTATACATCGCATTAGTGATTCAAGCGAAGAATCCCTGAAAACACAATGAATGCAATATAAATGACAAAGAAAGTGAATTATGCAAAAAAAAAAAAAAACTAACCAAAGAAAACAGTGGAAAGACAAACTGTAAATGACATACTGCTCATACCAGTAATAAAAACCCAGGTCTTTGACATCAACAGCAGGTCTCCAAGTGCACATCAGCTTGTTATGGGAATATGCAAAGTCCCTGTCTTTCACCAGCAGCACTGAAATAAATGAGGGGGTTTCAAATCAGTGTTAAATAATTTGCAACAAAAATAATAATTATAATCCACCACTGTAGTGATGAAAAGGCAAAAACAGTGTGTGACATTATTCCATATGGATTTGTCAGAATTTTCCTTTTAGGCTGCTTTCAGACATGCAAACTGATTGTTTTGTTCTGAAACAGGGATTCAAAAGATTATTACATGCGACTAAACGTGTTTTCACACCTAAATGTTCGTTTTGAAATCTGGTGCCTTAACCTCCTAAATCATGCTCGGTTCCAAACCAAGACAATCGGTTTGTGATTGCCTGAATGAGGTGAACAAACTCTGGAGCGATTCGGTTGTACAGAGAAAACAATACTATCCAACAAACTATATACGATCCAACAGGCTATCACAGTGCATTATGGTTATGTAATAGGCATATATATACAGTTGAAGTCACAATTATTAGCCTACTACAAAATCCAAACTACAAAAATCCAAAGTAAAATGGTTGTAGAGGGTTTATTTTACCTTATAAATCAGACAAGCGGAAAAAGATAATGGACTTGCAGTTTGCATTTACTAGGGCTGTGCGATTTGGAGAAAATGTCTAATTGCGGTTTTTTTTTGGACAGATATTGCGATTTTGATTTGATTTGCGATTTAATTTTGTAGTCAAGCTTCAGCTCTATAATCTGTATTGTAGCTTGTTATTGCTAAAATACAGTGAGTGTTAATTAAAAACTAACTTAAAAGACATCAAGTTATATTAGCAAACAACTCGAAAATTGTATTTTGCTGTTGCTTGCTACTAAATTGAGTGTCACTGTACTTTTTTTGTTGACTTTTAGCAAGACACTCCTCATATAGTTGCCTTTTACGCGACTTTTTGTTTAGGTGCTGGTTGTTGCATTTCCTCATGCTCTGGCAACAATTCTGCAACAGCTCTTACAAATTACCTGGTTTTGTTCAGTGTCTGTGACTTTGAAACCAAGATATTCCCATATTTCTGATGTGCTGTTTTTCTTTGATTAATTAGTCTATTAATGCTTCTGAAGCAGCAGAGGCCATCATCCCACTCGCTCGTGCTTTGCTGTTTGTTTATTTTTTATTGTGGGCGTTTCGCATAGTTTGAAAGTGTGCTCACTTAATTGGCTAGTAAAACACACAGACGACAGTCACGCATTTACTTTGGGAAGGCGAAGTTATATATTTCATATTGCAACCTCTTAGCTAATTGCAACATTTCAAATCACGATTTGATTTTGATTAATCGCACAACCCTAGTATCCACTGTATCATAACACATCAACCAATTAAAACTGAAAGAAATGATACTGTTAAATGATTATAATAAAGTCACTGGAAATAAAACCGGAGCCGGTTATCATGCAGAGTACCTGGAGGTGGAGGGATGGTGATGATCTGAGGTGGGCTCCGTTTATCTCCACAGTTGTCAAAGTTTGTAGTAACATTGATACACAGTCCATTCACATTGGAGACGTTCAGTAAGACCTTGTTGGTGGCAACTCTTCTCTTTTCGCTGTTACTGTTAGAACAGATCTGTTGGCGAAAAGAAGATTTCCAACTGTAAAATACAATGTTAAAGCTCTTATCAGATATACAGTATGTTTTTGTTAGTGTGTGTGTGTGTGTGTGTGTGTGTGTGTCTGCGCACATTACTAAGCACGAGTCACTTGTTTCTTAAGAAAGCCTCCTGCAACTCCTTTCTCCAAAATATTTGCTCCAAAAATATAGCTTTCAATGATTAAATATAAATAATAAAGGTCCCCTTAGCCAGCAAAGACCTAAGGTGGTTGAAATGTGTGTAAATAGTAGAGACTTTTTTGAACTGAACATTAAATTACACTACTAAGCAACTAGTTTTACATTGGGCAAGCAGTGCCTGCAGGACTTTTAATCCAGTATGAAACTAAACAAGAGCATTACCGATGTTATATCATGACAAACCACAGATGAATTCTTTTTTTTTTTTAACTTTCATTTTTTTAAAGATAACTAGAGTAGGTTGCACTTTATTGCACAGTATGTCTACTTGATATGTACTTACAGTAAAGTGTTCTTACTGTGTAGGAAAGTACTGGGTTATAAAAGGTAACTTCTGTTCTTGGGTTAAGGTTAGGTTTAGTTGTAATTACAAAGTTTATATAATGACTATGATAAGTGCATAGTCGTTACACACACAACAGTACTGCAAAATGTGCTACTCATTTTTCTCAACAAAACACATATATAGAATTAAAAATGACAACTCTCCTCAAAGATCTCTTTTAAATTAACATTTCATAAATAAAATGTTCATGAACAGGAAAAACCGAGAGAAAAATTTTGTAGTTTACAATTTTTCTAACTCATTTGAATGTAAATGCATTATCTTTTAATTTCTAAAGATGTTAGGTCACCAAACTCTTATTTTAATGAATAAAACTGTTTAATAAAACTTTAGTGTTTTGCATAAATGCACCAAATGGATAAAATATTACTTCTCAAAAGAGGTGTACTCATTTATGCTGAGCACAATATACATATACAGTTGAAGTCAGAATTATTAGCCCCCCTGAATTAAAAGCAACTTATTTTTCCCCACTTTCTGTTTAACTGAGAGAAGATTATTTCAACACATTTCCAAACATAGTTTTAATAACTAAATTCTTATTACATATTTATTTTATCTTTGCCATGATGACAGTAAATAATATTTTACTAGATATTTTTCAAGACACCTCTATACAGCTTAAAGTGACATTTAAAGGCTTATTTAGGTTAATTACGTTAACTAGGCAGGATAGGGTAATTAGGCAAGTTATTGTATAACTTTGGTTTGTTCTGTAGACTATCAAAAAATATATATTGATATATTGGGCTATATTGATAATTTTGACCTTAAATTGTTTATTTATTATTTTTTAATTAAAACTGCTTTTATTCTAGCCAAAATAAAACAAATAAAACTTTCTCCAGAAGAAAAAATATTATCAGACATACTGTGAAAATTTCTTTGCTCTGTTAAACATAATTTGGGAAATAAAAAAAAAAAAAATCAATTGGGGGCTAATAATTCTAACTTCATATATATATATATATATAACATTTTATGGACACATACAATATATTATTGTCAAAAAACAGCTATGCAATATAACACCAGTGGTCCAGGGTCTCTCATATATATATATAATATTAGAATATTATATATCAATATTTTGTTTCATGTTATTTTAAAACACATTCAGAAACAGTTCTAAGAATCTAAACAATAGAGCAAGAATTTGCACAATGCAATGTTTTTGCTTCCTGTCTACTTAGAATCTTGTTTAATCGAATGCTATGCTTACATCAATCTGAAATCACATGCTTTACTAAAAGTGTCTTTAATTACATAGTGTCAGTGTAGCTGTCCTTTCTGTTCCCTACCTCAACTCTCTCTTACACACACACACACACAGAAGTGACTTTTTCAGAAAAATGTTTTCCAGTAAATGTCCCTAAAATGTCACAGGAACCAACCAGATCAACCTAACCCCGTCCAGATCAGATTATATTTGAACACGACACGCTTCATATGCTTGTCGGCAAAACTTTAAACACAATTAATGAAAGTTGGATTGCCAGAAGTGCTGTTTGCTATTTAGCATTTGTTTACAATTGCTCCAACATGTTCACTTTCTTTATAATCCTCATCCCAAGAGCTAAATATAAACATGGCGTCTTTAAAAGGTAAATCCTGGAGTGGTGTTCTTTACATGAAACTTTATTTCAGCACTTTTATAGTAAGTAGATCAAGTCTTTACATTCAACACACTTCCTGTACCTTAAAATTCAGTATGGAAGAAATGAGGAAATGTAAGGGGTGTGAAAAGGCAAAGGGCAAAGAGTTGCTACAGTTACAGAAACACACAAATGAAACTAAACACGTCATTTAGGAGGAAAAACCAATCCCTGTGTAGACTTTGACTTTAGATTATGTGGGGAAAACAAATGGTTATAAAAGTAATGATTACAGTATATCAATAGATCAATAGATATTATTAAAAATCATGATTACAGAGCCTGTAAATGTGGTGTGAAAGTGTTAAGTTGATTTACACTACCATAAATAATTTTTAAAAGGGGTCTCTTCTGCTTAATTTGGCTAATTATAAAATTGAAAAATATATATTATTTTTAATTTAAAATATTTGTTTTCTCTGTGAATGTTTTAAAATGTCATTTATTTCTGTGATTAAAAGAGATTTTTTATTATCATTACTCCAGTCTCATTCTAATATGATGATTTGCTGCTCGAGAAACATTTCTGATTAATATTGATGTTTAAAATCACCATATCTTAGTGGAAACCATTGTACAGTACCATTACCATCCAAAGTTTTTTATAGTATTTAAATGTCATCAATGTCATTTCTCAAAGGTGACAATAGACATTTATAATGCGTTTAAAAAATGTTTCAAATAAATTCTGTATATACAGTTGAAGTCAGAATTATTAGCCCCCCTTTGATTTATTTTTTCTTTTAAAAAATTATATATATATATATATATATATATATATATATATATATATATATATATATATATATATATATATATATATATATATATATATATAGATATTACACAATAACTTGCCTAATTACCCTAATCTGCCTAGTTAACCCAATTAACCTAGTTAAGCCTTTAAATGTCACTTTAAGCTGTATAGAAGTGTCTTGAAAATTATCTACTCAAATGTTATGTTCTGTCATCATGGCAAAGATCAAATAAATCAGTAATAAGAAATGAGTTATTAAAACTATTATGTTTAGAAATGTGTTGAAAAAAAATCTCTGTTAAAAATAAATTGAAGAAAAAATAAATGGAGGCTAATAATTCTGACTGTGTGTGTGTGTGTGTGTGTGTGTGTGTGTATATATATATATATATATATATATATATATATATATATATATATATATATTTTTTTTTTTTTTTTTTTTTTTCCAAAAATCTAACATTAGTTTTAATATATTGTTAACATATATATTTTTTATGTAAATTTATGTTTTGAATTTTTACTACAAATGTCACATCCATAACGCTGGAACTGCTCATTATCAATATCGATAAAACCATTATAACTGACCGAAAAGCAGTAAATAAAATCGTTAAAACAGAAGCAAATCAGCAATAATTGGAATACCCATATGCCTCTAAAAAACGAATTAGGCCTACAGATAATAACTGAATAAGTAGCCTTGAGTTTTTTTCAGCTAAAAACTAAAGATGATATTTCAAAGAATGTTAAAAACATGTAACCACTGATATTAATTGTAGAAAAACAAATACTATGGAAGTCAAAGGTTACCTGTTTTCTTCCGAACATTCTTCAAAATATCTTCTTTTGTGCTCAAATGATGACAGAATTTTTGGGTGAACTATAACAATTCAACAGAGTAAGCTACACTTACACTCCTTTAGCAGCAGAACAAACATATTTAGTTTAAATCCAAAATCTGAATAATAATTAAATAATTAAAAAATGAATAAACATAGGCTAATAAAATAATTATGGAGCACTCTGAATTGGGGACATTGTTCAACAGTTTTGAATTTATCTACGAAAAAGATGAGCAGGCGACTCACCAGAGATGAGCTCACGCTTATTGTGTAGTTCACCAAACATTCTGGATCCAAATCCTCCGGCTTGTCCCAGGTCAAATTAAGCGTGAAAGGTGTTTCCCATTTAAAGTTGAGATTCTTCGGCGGAGGAAGCTCTGCGGGGTTCAGGAAGAGTAAAACAACTTTAGAGGGGAAACAGAGAAATATCTACACCGTTTAACAGAAAAAAAATAACCATGTCAGGCGAAGAAACGTTTAGTTTTTAATAACTGACCACCACAGAGAACAAGTCCAGCTAAGAGTTTCGGAATTGGTGTTCATAGGAAAATCTCTGACGTCACATATTTCGGGAATTTTACAGGATATCCCGCAAAGCGCTGTCACAGGAAAACTTCAGGATAGTTACTGACATTTACGAACAAAACAGAAGTGAACCCACCTGACATGCTTTCAACACCGACGAACATGAGCGAGACGGAGAAGCAAACAATCAAGGAAATGTCCAGGAATCGATACATCATGTTGAAGACTTGCTTTGTCGTATATTCCGTGTAAAATCCAATAGGAGATGTCGTAATCCTGTGTCGTACTTGAGTTTTTAGGTGGTTGTACTTGTGTTCGTCACCATAGTAGGTGAACACAAACTGTGCGACAGACACAGTCGCGTCCTCTTTGCCTGAATATCGAAACAGAAGTGCGACTGACTGGAGTGAGTGGAGCTTCAGGGACAACCAACACTGACAGACTGAAGGGAGTGGGTGGAGTTGAGTGAGTGAGTGTGTGTGAACGTGAGTAAAGTTTCGACCTCCTCCAGGGATCAAGTACACTTCATTATCATACTTCAGTCATATAGCTGAGCTTCTTCAAATTCGCATTTAAAGGGATACCTCACCCTGAAAAATTCTGTCATCATTTCAAAAGTTCAGATGATAAAAAAAACAACTTAAAGTTCTTAACTTTTTATTTAATTGATTATTTTGTCTTCTCACTTTCTTTTAGCTATAACGGTCCGTGTACATTTTGTTCATTTGTTTTCCATTTTCAAACAGAATAAAGGAAATGGAGAAAACGCCCGTTTTTCCGTTTTTCTTTTGCTCACGAGAAAACGAAAAAACGAGATTTTGGCTGGATTTTCGTTTTTTGGTTTAGGGTAGGAAAACGGATAAACGACTTTAAAATTCATTTTACACATGTAGGCGGTGCTGAAACGCCCACTTTCCTCTAATTGGTCAACCAAATCTGCGCTCGTGACGTCACCCTCAAAATAAAAGCCTTACACGCAGGCTTTTAATTAATATTATTTAATTATATATATAAACAAAGTTTACATATTCTATCATTTGAACCACACACAGTTAGCAGGCTTACATTCATTGCGTAAGTATAAATTAAATAAAAACGTAAATCAGCAGTATTCTTAGACATTTGTCATTAAAATAAGGTCATAGTTCACTGCCAAGCTTCTTGCTGCTGTGCACCTGATGCAGAGCAAAGATACCCATTTCCGAGGAGCACCTGGTTTGCATGATTGTTTCAGAGCAAGGGCTTTATAATAATAATAATAATAATAATAATAATAATAATAATAATTATTATTATTATTATTATTATTATTATTATTATTATTATCAGTTACTAGTGTTTTTATTGTTTGGTGTGTTTTTTTTTTTCTTTTTAATAGTTGTTACCAGAATAAGAACACTTTGGGCCCTGCTATAAAAACAAAGGGTACCATTTGTTTTCATTTATTTCTTCCTATTTTAATTATATATTGTAATTATTTATTTGATAATTAATACTATTTTATTGCAACGCCAAAGTAGGCCTGTCTTATTATTATTTTTTTATTATTAAATTTGCTGTTATTGTAGGCTAGATGGCAGGCTTTAAATATTTTAAATAACACTTACTCATAACCTTACTAATTCGAGAGCCGAACCTAAAAAAGTTTAAGTGCAATAAGCCTGTACAATAAAGGGAGCCGCAATGCATATTTCTAGCGCATTCTTTCACTCAACAAGTATTGCTGGAATAATGAAATAAATTTCAAATTAACTAATTAAACACATTATAGTTGATAAAAAAATTGTGTCTAGTAGTTCCGACAAACAGATGAGCTCGCTACATGTGCGTTGCGCTAATAATTTGACATTTGCTCTTCTTGAGAAAGTGCTACAGCGGCCCTGCTATTTCACATATAAGGTTAGTGACACGCATTTTAAATTAGTATTGCACATTATTCATTCATTTTCTTGTCGGCTTAGTCCCTTTATTAATCTGGGGTCGCCACAGCGGAATGAACCGCCAACTTATTTAGCAAGTTTTTATGCAGCGGATGCCCTTCCAGCCACAACCTATCTCTGGGAAACATCCACACATACACACACACTTATACAGTACGGACAATTTAGCCTACCCAATTCACCTGTACCGCATGTCTTTTTACTGTGGGGAAAACCGGAGCACCCGGAGAAAACCCACGCGAACGCACTACACTACTGAATTAGACACACAATCTCAAAAAAAAAAAAACTTGATGCTTATTTACATTATCTAAAGTCATTTCTTATGAGGTAGGATCTGTTGTTGTATTATATATTTTCGTTTTAATATGCAAATAATTTTCTTTAATTTGTAATAGGCCTATTGTCCCTCATTGCATAAAATAACCAGCCTTTGTATTCAATATGTTTGTAAATTGTCCATCCAGTTTGACGCAAGCTAAACAACATTTTGGCCTGTTTTGCTTATTAAATGAGTGATTTTCACGGAGAAACAAATCATCCATCCACACAGTTTTGTATAGGACCTGTGTGAACAAAAATATACACTTCATCATATAGGAAAATGTATCTGTTTAGAACCAATTTTGTGTTGTATAATTAAAAATATTAAAAATACAACAAAAAAAAAAGGAATAACATTTGAAGTGCAATGCTTCAAAGATCCAATACGCTGCATGCAGAGCCAAAACAAAAACTGGTTTGTTTGTTTAATAAAATAATAATATGAAATTAAAGTGAAATAGTTCCATAACCTGTATTATAACTGTAGTCACTCTAGATGACAAATCATCCGTTGCACCGGTCAGTTTCACTTTTAATCAAGAATGTGCCAGAACCAAATGAGAATATTTACAGATTACCTCGGAATGAGACCTCGGTCTGTGAAGGATGCAGAACACAGAAACTCGTTGAGAATGGAGATGCATGTTAGATGTTTTATATCCCTTTAGATATTGTAAATAAACAACAAGTTTTTATAGAGATTGTGTCATGTCTTTTCTTTGACGCACGCGCTGAACAGCCTGTACTGTAGCCTAAATAATAGTTTAGATTTTATAACATATAATGTTCCATTACTTTAAATGTATAATGTTTTTTAATATTTATGGATTATATAAAATATATAGTTTATATAAATGCGCTCTGATCATTCAAGAATCATAATGCGTTGCATATTCTTCTTATTCTTCATTAGGCTTGATCCGTAAATTTTGTATTTTATAAACTGATCGTTTATAAGGACTAAGCTATTAATAACTGTAATTCCTCGAATGGAAAAGTCTTGATTAAAGAAAAAGATAACTTAATTCGACATATGCATATAGTGCGCTTATTTCTGCGCGCATCGCGCGCTTTACCGAATTACCTTTTTTATTTTTTATGCACTATAAATGCATCTGGCAGCACCGAAAAGAGCAAATGCCAAGTTATTAGCGCAGCGCACAGACAGCTAGCTCGTCTAGTCTGAACCAGGGGTTTTCAAACTATTCATTGCACACCGATCCCATTGCATTTTATTTAGTATAAACCACTTATTTAAAATTAATTAATTAAAAGGTGCGTACTCTCCAATACACCACTGTAGTTTCATAATATTTAATAATTATAATTAAGATAGACACCTGACCTCCATTTAATAAACAATTTATTTGCCATACTCTGTTAATTTGAAGTTTAAAGTTTAAATGTTAAACTTAAATTATTTAAAAACTTAAAAAGACTTCAATTTAGTCATTTAAGACATTTTAGGTCATAAGTTTACATACATTGACCGTTGCATTTAGTAGGCCTATTCTGGTCTAAATAAGCTTTTTGCATCTTAGGTGTTTACACACACAAATTAAGCAGTTTATACGTACATTTAATGTTACTTTGAAATTACTTTTGATGCAATAAATAATCCTAAATAGTTGAAAGTGTTAACATATTCTTGAAATGTAGTTATTTTATAACTATGAAATTTATTACTAAACAAAGTGAATCATTATGAATTTGCCAAGAAATAATCCACTTTACCACCGTAAAGCAATGCCCCACACTCACTAGAACGGTAGAACCTGGACTGTATGATATGTTCTGTATGTAAAATAGAGAAAATAAGCAAGATGCGCAGTCTCATGCAGCCTTAGTGAAATATAGCGCGTCACAGCAATGAACTAAAAATAAAACCACCCTTGAAATGCTGGCGATCTTAATTTTTTTCAGCCTACACTGACTGAGAATAATGTTGCACTATTTTATTAACAAATAATTAGAATGTTTTTTTTTCCTTCAACACATTCATCATTACTTTTGCCTGTGCAAGTTTTTTTTGCGCCCGCTTGAGCGCGAAGGCATCTATTTTCAGGTGCAAGATGCCACTTTGGGTGGCACCAGCACACTCTGCCACACCTGTGGCTATGTCCCTGCTACAATAATAATAACAACAACAACGACAAAATAATAACAAAAAATAATAATAATAATAAGACAGGCCTACTTTGACCTTGCAATAAAAAAGTAATAATTATCAAATAAATATTTACAATAGGCTAAAGGCATATTAAATTAAAATAGGAGAAAATCCAATAGAAACAAATGGTACCATTTATTATCGCCCCATGCAGGGTCCAATGTGTTCTTACAACCATTGAATAACTAAGTAAATAATAATAATAACAATACTAATAATAATAGGCCTAATAATAATAATAATAATAATAATAATAATAATAATAATAATAAATTATTATTTTATACAGAGTAGGCTATTATTTAGGCCTACAATAGCTCTGAAACAATCATGTAAACCAGGTGCTCCTCGGAAATGGCTATCTTTGCTCTGCATCAGGTGCACAGCAGCAAGAAGCTTGGCAGTGAACTATGACCTTATTTTAATGACAAATGTCTAAGAATACTGCTGATTTACGTTTTTATTTAATTTATACTTACGCAATGAATGTAAGCCTGCTAACTGTGTGTGGTTCAAATGATAGAATATGTAAACTTTGTTTATATATATAATTAAATAATATTAATTAAAAGCCTGCGTGTAAGGCTTTTATTTTGAGGGTGACGTCACGAGCGCAGATTTGGTTGACCAATTAGAGGAAAGTGGGCGTTTCAGCACCGCCTACATGTGTAAAATGAATTTTAAAGTCGTTTATCCGTTTTCCTACCCTAAACCAAAAAACGAAAATCCAGCCAAAATCTCGTTTTTTCGTTTTCTCGTGAGCAAAAGAAAAACGGAAAAACGGGCGTTTTCTCCATTTCCTTTATTCTGTTTGAAAATGGAAAACAAATGAACAAAATGTACACGGACCTATAACACTATTATTACTTTTTTTTTTAAATTGTCACACTTCCCTTGTTGCAAAAACGTAATGTCTGTATTGTTTGTTTTTATATTTTTATCCAGTGT